TAAATAGAGGCCTCCCCCAGCAGAGTGCTGGCAGCAGCTATTCAAATGCACCCAGGCACTCAATCACATGCAAAACAATGCCCCTTCCTTTTCCTCTCAATTGCAGTCAATCACAGTCAAACAATGCCCTTTCCTCTCTCAAGCAGCCAGGAATCTGCAAAAACTCCAAGCGCTTCCACACACTCCCAGACCAGTTCTCCCACCAAAATCCTCAGCTGGATCCTCTCCGCTGAAAGCAAATAAAAAACCACTCACCCTTCTGTCTCCTGCTCCTGTTCCTGCTCAGAGCTCAGCTGGGTCTCCTCTGCCTCTGGCCAGGTGTTTCCTTAAATAGAGGCCTCCCCCAGCAGAGTGCTGGCAGCAGCTATTCAAATGCACCCAGGCACTCAATCACATGCAAAACAATGCCCCTTCCTTTTCCTCTCAATTGCAGTCAATCACAGTCAAACAATGCCCTTTCCTCTCTCAAGCAGCCAGGAATCTGCAAAAACTCCAAGCGCTTCCACACACTCCCAGACCAGTTCTCCCACCAAAATCCTCAGCTGGATCCTCTCCGCTGAAAGCAAATAAAAAACCACTCACCCTTCTGTCTCCTGCTCCTGTTCCTGCTCAGAGCTCAGCTGGGTCTCCTCTGCCTCTGGCCAGGTGTTTCCTTAAATAGAGGCCTCCCCCAGCAGAGTGCTGGCAGCAGCTATTCAAATGCACCCAGGCACTCAATCACATGCAAAACAATGCCCCTTCCTTTTCCTCTCAATTGCAGTCAATCACAGTCAAACAATGCCCTTTCCTCTCTCAAGCAGCCAGGAATCTGCAAAAACTCCAAGCGCTTCCACACACTCCCAGACCAGTTCTCCCACCAAAATCCTCAGCTGGATCCTCTCCGCTGAAAGCAAATAAAAAACCACTCACCCTTCTGTCTCCTGCTCCTGTTCCTGCTCAGAGCTCAGCTGGGTCTCCTCTGCCTCTGGCCAGGTGTTTCCTTAAATAGAGGCCTCCCCCAGCAGAGTGCTGGCAGCAGCTATTCAAATGCACCCAGGCACTCAATCACATGCAAAACAATGCCCCTTCCTTTTCCTCTCAATTGCAGTCAATCACAGTCAAACAATGCCCTTTCCTCTCTCAAGCAGCCAGGAATCTGCAAAAACTCCAAGCGCTTCCACACACTCCCAGACCAGTTCTCCCACCAAAATCCTCAGCTGGATCCTCTCCGCTGAAAGCAAATAAAAAACCACTCACCCTTCTGTCTCCTGCTCCTGTTCCTGCTCAGAGCTCAGCTGGGTCTCCTCTGCCTCTGGCCAGGTGTTTCCTTAAATAGAGGCCTCCCCCAGCAGAGTGCTGGCAGCAGCTATTCAAATGCACCCAGGCACTCAATCACATGCAAAACAATGCCCCTTCCTTTTCCTCTCAATTGCAGTCAATCACAGTCAAACAATGCCCTTTCCTCTCTCAAGCAGCCAGGAATCTGCAAAAACTCCAAGCGCTTCCACACACTCCCAGACCAGTTCTCCCACCAAAATCCTCAGCTGGATCCTCTCCGCTGAAAGCAAATAAAAAACCACTCACCCTTCTGTCTCCTGCTCCTGTTCCTGCTCAGAGCTCAGCTGGGTCTCCTCTGCCTCTGGCCAGGTGTTTCCTTAAATAGAGGCCTCCCCCAGCAGAGTGCTGGCAGCAGCTATTCAAATGCACCCAGGCACTCAATCACATGCAAAACAATGCCCCTTCCTTTTCCTCTCAATTGCAGTCAATCACAGTCAAACAATGCCCTTTCCTCTCTCAAGCAGCCAGGAATCTGCAAAAACTCCAAGCGCTTCCACACACTCCCAGACCAGTTCTCCCACCAAAATCCTCAGCTGGATCCTCTCCGCTGAAAGCAAATAAAAAACCACTCACCCTTCTGTCTCCTGCTCCTGTTCCTGCTCAGAGCTCAGCTGGGTCTCCTCTGCCTCTGGCCAGGTGTTTCCTTAAATAGAGGCCTCCCCCAGCAGAGTGCTGGCAGCAGCTATTCAAATGCACCCAGGCACTCAATCACATGCAAAACAATGCCCCTTCCTTTTCCTCTCAATTGCAGTCAATCACAGTCAAACAATGCCCTTTCCTCTCTCAAGCAGCCAGGAATCTGCAAAAACTCCAAGCGCTTCCACACACTCCCAGACCAGTTCTCCCACCAAAATCCTCAGCTGGATCCTCTCCGCTGAAAGCAAATAAAAAACCACTCACCCTTCTGTCTCCTGCTCCTGTTCCTGCTCAGAGCTCAGCTGGGTCTCCTCTGCCTCTGGCCAGGTGTTTCCTTAAATAGAGGCCTCCCCCAGCAGAGTGCTGGCAGCAGCTATTCAAATGCACCCAGGCACTCAATCACATGCAAAACAATGCCCCTTCCTTTTCCTCTCAATTGCAGTCAATCACAGTCAAACAATGCCCTTTCCTCTCTCAAGCAGCCAGGAATCTGCAAAAACTCCAAGCGCTTCCACACACTCCCAGACCAGTTCTCCCACCAAAATCCTCAGCTGGATCCTCTCCGCTGAAAGCAAATAAAAAACCACTCACCCTTCTGTCTCCTGCTCCTGTTCCTGCTCAGAGCTCAGCTGGGTCTCCTCTGCCTCTGGCCAGGTGTTTCCTTAAATAGAGGCCTCCCCCAGCAGAGTGCTGGCAGCAGCTATTCAAATGCACCCAGGCACTCAATCACATGCAAAACAATGCCCCTTCCTTTTCCTCTCAATTGCAGTCAATCACAGTCAAACAATGCCCTTTCCTCTCTCAAGCAGCCAGGAATCTGCAAAAACTCCAAGCGCTTCCACACACTCCCAGACCAGTTCTCCCACCAAAATCCTCAGCTGGATCCTCTCCGCTGAAAGCAAATAAAAAACCACTCACCCTTCTGTCTCCTGCTCCTGTTCCTGCTCAGAGCTCAGCTGGGTCTCCTCTGCCTCTGGCCAGGTGTTTCCTTAAATAGAGGCCTCCCCCAGCAGAGTGCTGGCAGCAGCTATTCAAATGCACCCAGGCACTCAATCACATGCAAAACAATGCCCCTTCCTTTTCCTCTCAATTGCAGTCAATCACAGTCAAACAATGCCCTTTCCTCTCTCAAGCAGCCAGGAATCTGCAAAAACTCCAAGCGCTTCCACACACTCCCAGACCAGTTCTCCCACCAAAATCCTCAGCTGGATCCTCTCCGCTGAAAGCAAATAAAAAACCACTCACCCTTCTGTCTCCTGCTCCTGTTCCTGCTCAGAGCTCAGCTGGGTCTCCTCTGCCTCTGGCCAGGTGTTTCCTTAAATAGAGGCCTCCCCCAGCAGAGTGCTGGCAGCAGCTATTCAAATGCACCCAGGCACTCAATCACATGCAAAACAATGCCCCTTCCTTTTCCTCTCAATTGCAGTCAATCACAGTCAAACAATGCCCTTTCCTCTCTCAAGCAGCCAGGAATCTGCAAAAACTCCAAGCGCTTCCACACACTCCCAGACCAGTTCTCCCACCAAAATCCTCAGCTGGATCCTCTCCGCTGAAAGCAAATAAAAAACCACTCACCCTTCTGTCTCCTGCTCCTGTTCCTGCTCAGAGCTCAGCTGGGTCTCCTCTGCCTCTGGCCAGGTGTTTCCTTAAATAGAGGCCTCCCCCAGCAGAGTGCTGGCAGCAGCTATTCAAATGCACCCAGGCACTCAATCACATGCAAAACAATGCCCCTTCCTTTTCCTCTCAATTGCAGTCAATCACAGTCAAACAATGCCCTTTCCTCTCTCAAGCAGCCAGGAATCTGCAAAAACTCCAAGCGCTTCCACACACTCCCAGACCAGTTCTCCCACCAAAATCCTCAGCTGGATCCTCTCCGCTGAAAGCAAATAAAAAACCACTCACCCTTCTGTCTCCTGCTCCTGTTCCTGCTCAGAGCTCAGCTGGGTCTCCTCTGCCTCTGGCCAGGTGTTTCCTTAAATAGAGGCCTCCCCCAGCAGAGTGCTGGCAGCAGCTATTCAAATGCACCCAGGCACTCAATCACATGCAAAACAATGCCCCTTCCTTTTCCTCTCAATTGCAGTCAATCACAGTCAAACAATGCCCTTTCCTCTCTCAAGCAGCCAGGAATCTGCAAAAACTCCAAGCGCTTCCACACACTCCCAGACCAGTTCTCCCACCAAAATCCTCAGCTGGATCCTCTCCGCTGAAAGCAAATAAAAAACCACTCACCCTTCTGTCTCCTGCTCCTGTTCCTGCTCAGAGCTCAGCTGGGTCTCCTCTGCCTCTGGCCAGGTGTTTCCTTAAATAGAGGCCTCCCCCAGCAGAGTGCTGGCAGCAGCTATTCAAATGCACCCAGGCACTCAATCACATGCAAAACAATGCCCCTTCCTTTTCCTCTCAATTGCAGTCAATCACAGTCAAACAATGCCCTTTCCTCTCTCAAGCAGCCAGGAATCTGCAAAAACTCCAAGCGCTTCCACACACTCCCAGACCAGTTCTCCCACCAAAATCCTCAGCTGGATCCTCTCCGCTGAAAGCAAATAAAAAACCACTCACCCCTCTGTCTCCTGCTCCTGCTCCTGCTCAGAGCTCAGCTGGGTCTCCCCTCAGAGCTCAGCTGGGTCTCTCGACTAGAACACATATTGACCCAATCAATGTGTGGGTTTGCAGCAGTCCGTCACGCGCCCTAAAGCCTTGTTACTTGTTATTTGATCTCATCCGCCTCCTCCGAAACACCAAATATTTTCGTATCGCCAGTATTATGATTGCTGTTTGATCATTAGGTAAGAGAAGGCTAAACCAGGATCAGCAACTGTCCAAGGCAAACTCCCACAATCTGTCTTCTCTGGCGAATGGTAAATTGGGGGATTTTTAGAGAGATTCTGACTTTTGTGCTGTTCATGCAGGAAAGGTGCTGCTTTCATGGGAGCTGGGAAGACTTCTTTTTAACGGCGTCATTTCCCCCACCACCACCCCTTGCAGCCAGCCACATAGCTTGATGAGATGAAGTAAAGCGCTTTTGTTTTGCTTTTTTTTGTTGTTGTTCTCAGAAGTCCTCACGAAAAGAAGAAAAGGAGATCTCACTCTCACACCAAGTCCAAAGCACGATCTCATTCGCCCTCCGTCTCACCAGGCAAGCAGTCTGCACTTAAGAATGCCACCCACTCAGCCAGCGTCTCTCCTGTGGAGAGCAGAGGATCCAGCCAAGAACGGTCCAGGTAATGGGCTCTTGTAAGGCTGCGTGTCGGCTTTTGTCTGTCCGTCTGCGAGCCGCTGGCTCGGTTGAAGGAGAGGGCTGTGCTGCCAGGGATTCCGAATGGGAGCACATTCGTAAGGAAGCCTCGTAGGCCTGCCAGCAAAACTTGCTTTCTGTGCAGCTGGAACAAACAGAGAGGGCCGTGTGCCCATTGTACCCTCTTAGCTAGCTTGTGTATTTGGGTGGATGGATGCCGTTTTTCAACCCAAAAGGATATCAAGCAGCTTATAGAAAAAATAATCAAAATACATTTTAACAATGTAACAACCAGTGGGGGGGGACAAAAAAACAGTTGGTGAAGAGAATTAAGACATTGAGCGCTGGTCCCAGTCCACCAGGCAAGTTTTTACGGGCTAAAGCCCTTTCTTGCCCTGTGGTTTGTGCCTCTGGCCATGCCCAGGCTTAAGTACCTGCAAGCAGAGGAGAAACAAACTCAGCCCAGATGTTATTCAGCTGCTGGTGGCAAGCTAGCAGGGTTTCCCCCTCTTCCTCCCCTGGTCATCTGCACCATTACACCAAACGGCAGGGAGAACTTCACCAGATTTCTCAATCTGATTAGAAATCGGGAGGGAAGGGGGCGAAATTCTGCTCATCACCGGGCAGGACAGTGTGGGCCTCTTTTCTGTAAGAGACGAGAAGGGAGAGCTGTGAAGTGATAGACCAAAAGCAGGGAAAGGTTCCCCAAGCTGCAGTTCAACTGGCTTCCTGAGCGGTGTTCCCTCTAAGCTGAGTTGGTGTGTGCCAACTCACAGTTTTTTAGCTTCCAGTTCACACATTTTTGTCTTAGCTCAGGAAGGATGGCTCCAGAGCAAATTAATTTATGCAGTAGCCAAATTGCTCGCTCACAACTTTAATGCCACTAGGCTCACAAAGTAGAATTTTTGCTCACAAGACTCCACACCTTAGAGGGAGCATTGCTCCTGAGATGCTGATACGTACAGTATTGTAAATGATCAATCCTATCAGCCCTTTCTTTTTCTGGTTGCACCTGCACCGGTTCTTTCCTTCTGCACTGTTAACTGTGGCTTCTGCAGTTAAGATTGCAGTGTTTAGCAGTAGCCGCTCTGCACGAGATGGCACCGTGCGTGTGGCTTTTGGAAAAATAACACTCTAGTGAGCTGTTCTCACTCAGGCATCCTCTGGGAGAATGGTAGTCCTGTGGATCTTTTCAGCAGTAATGTAGCATCAAACCTCTGCTGTTTAGCTATGAACCCTGATAGCAGCACTTGATGCACCTAGCTGTAAACTTGTACATTCCAGTGTGGTATAAGGTGGTGTAGAGTTGGGCTTGGAATGGGGGAGACCTAAAATAGTCTTGGTCCAGTCATTCAGGCTGTCCATGCAAGGATAAAAGAAGGAAGAAGAATTGTGTTTGCTGCCCCTACTTCCTTGGAGAAAGGCAGGTTAAGAGAATAGTAAAAGAATAAAGAAAACGACCCCTGGTGAGAATGCAGTGGTGATGGAATATTAGCAAGCTCTGCACAGTATCCTTCTGGGGTGTGGTGTTTTGTTTTGTTTGGGGGGGGGGTTTCCTTGATGGTCTCCCATCCAAATATTAGCCAGAGCTGAGCCCACTTAGTTTCTGAGATCGGACAAAATCGGGCTAGCCTAGGCTATGCGTCTAACTGAGATGTTTTTAAACAATTCTTCTTTTACTTATAGTATTTCCGTGTAGGGGAAAAGTGCTTTTCCAGTGTTCAATCTGCTGCACATTGATATTTACAACAAACCTAGACCAGTTTTATTATCCCTGCAATGGAGCAAGCCTTCGTGGTGTTGAGACAGAAGGCCATCTATCTAAGGCAGGGATGCAGTCGGACCACGGGACTTGCTCTTTAGCCGTTACTCCCTGCTAGTTCTGTTTCTCAAAGGGGGTCAACTACCCAGATGTCCATTTCCATGTGCCAATAATGGGATGCTAACGCATGTCCCCTTTCTGAATTTTCAGGGGAGTTTCTTTGGAAAAAGACGGCCAGATCTCTTCAGCCATCGTGTCATCAGTACAGAGTAAAATAACTCAGGTAACAGTTTAAAATGTTGTTACTGCAGGCCTCGCCAGTAAAGGATGAACCGTGTTATAATCATGTGACGTCATGTTTTAATTGCAGCCTCAGTGGTGGTGTGGCTCTGAAAGGGCGCTGCAAACAGTCTGTGATCATTGCCCTTCCCAAATTATGTCTGTCCGGTTTATGAGATAAGAGTCTCCTTACTTGCCTGCATCATTGCTGTGGTTTGCTTTTGGAGGCCAGTTGGACTTCTTTACTACCTGAATTGTTTTCAGAGCCATTAACGGTTGCAGGTCACAGTATCGGTGCAGCAGCTCCAATGGTTTTGTGTCTAGCCTTTGACACGCTTAACAAAGTGCAGCTATAAGCCTGTCTGTCTTCAATGTCTTTCATGCCTTGCAGGGGGAAAAAAATCTGTAAATCTGTGATAGCACCATCCAGTTTTCACTCTTTTCAAACATGCATCTCCTCGTCTTGCTCCCTGCACATTTTAATTATGACTCGCCTGGATGGGGGGGAGGGTTTTTGGTCCAGCAGCTTCTCCTCTGCCAAAACAGGGAAGAACAGTCCCTTTTGAATACCAAAAAGTGAGGCCAAAGCAGGTAAAACCTGTATGGCACGGAAGCCTCAGTGAAGAGGAAAATCAGGGAAGATTAAGCAGAAAAGCTGGCAGGACCCAAACCCACATTTTGGAAGTCTTCCGTTTTCTTTGGATACTTTTTTCCACACACAAAAAATGCAATTATGAAACTAGCTGCTTGTCTTCTAGTCTGTAGGTGTTTCCAGCGACTGGATAGAATTCCCTGGGCTGTGCCTCAGTGTTAGGGCATCTGCTTTGCATGCAGAAGGTGCCTGGTTCAATCCCCGGCTTCTCCCATTAAAAAGGACCAGGCAGTGGGGGATGTGAGAGACCTTTCTCTGCCCGAGACCTTGGAGGACTGCTGCCGGTCTGAGTAGGCAGTACTGATGTTGACGGGCCAGTGGTCTGGTTCAGTACAAGGTTCAGGCTCATGTGGAGCTTTGTGGAGTTCATGACCAAAAGAACTGTGAGGAGACATGATCCAAAAGGTGCTCAGTAAGAAACAGTGGCTTCAAATAAAGCCCCTGTGTGGACGGACTCTCAAGGAGTGGGGGTCCAGCTAGTGGGGCTGAGAGGAGCTCAGTCTGCTCCAGTGTGGTGTAGTGGTTAAGAGCAGTGGACTCTAATCCGGAGAACTTCCTCCTCTACATGAAGCCATCTGGGTGACCTTGGGCCAGTCACAGTTCTCTCAGGGCTCTCTCAGCCCCACCTGCCTCACAAGGTTACCTGAATTGTTTTCAGAGCCATTAACGGTTGCAGGTCACAGTATCGGTGCAGCAGCTCCAATGGTTTTGTGTCTAGCCTTTGACACGCTTAACAAAGTGCAGCTATAAGCCTGTCTGTCTTCAGTGTCTTTCATGCCTTGCAGGGGGGGGAAATCTGTAAATCTGTGATAGCACCGTCCAGTTTTCACTCTTTTCAAACATGCATCTCCTCGTCTTGCTCCCTGCACATTTTAATTATGACTCGCCTGGATGGGGGGGAGGGTTTTTGGTCCAGCAGCTTCTCCTCTGCCAAAACAGGGAAGAACAGTCCCTTTTGAATACCAAAAAGTGAGGCCAAAGCAGGTAAAACCTGTATGGTACGGAAGCCTCAGTGAAGAGGAAAATCAGGGAAGATTAAGCAGAAAAGCTGGCAGGACCCAAACCCACATTTTGGAAGTCTGCCGTTTTCTTCGGATACTTTTTTTTTTTAATGCAATTATGAAACTAGCTGCTTGTCTTCTAGTCTGTAGGTGTTTCCAGCGACTGGATAGAATTCCCTGGGCTGTGCCTCAGTGTTAGAGCATCTGCTTTGCAGGCAGAAGGTGCCTGGTTCAATCCCTGGCTTCTCCCGTTAAAAAGGACCAGGCAGTAGGGGATGTGAGAGACCTTTCTCTGCCCGAGACCTTGGAGGACTGCTGCCGGTCTGAGTAGGCAGTACTGATGTTGATGGTTCAGTACAAGGTTCAGGCTCATGTGGAGCTTTGTGGAGTTCATGACCAAAGGAACTGTGAGGAGACATGATCCAAAAGGTGCTCAGTAAGAAACTGGCTTCAAATAAAGCCCCTGTATGGACCGACTCTCAAGGAGTGGGGGTCCAGCTAGTGGGGCTGAGAGGAGCTCAGTCTGCTCCAGTGTGGTGTAGTGGTTAAGAGCAGTGGACTCTAATCCGGAGAACTTCCTCCTCTACATGAAGCCATCTGGGTGACCTTGGGCCAGTCACAGTTCTCTCAGGGCTCTCTCAGCCCCACCTGCCTCACAAGGTGCCTGTTGTGAGGAGAGGAAGGGAAGGCGACTGTAAGCCGCTTTGAGACTCCTTCGGGTAGAGAAAAGCAGGGTATAAAAACCAACTCTTCTTCTCCTCATGCCACATACTCATTTTTAGGTACTGGAGACAGGAGCCCAGTTACCTCCCTGTCCTTAAGGTGCTGTATCCCCTGAGCACTTCCTCTCTGCCCACTTCTGTGTGGCAAGGGAGAGGCCATAGCGTAGCGGCAGAGCACCTGCTTCCCCTGCAGAAGGCTCCCAGGTCCAGTCCCTGGCACCTCCAGGATCATGGGTAGCTGGGATCGAATGCTTCAGGAGGGTAGCCACCTTGGTCTCGCTAGCATGGAGCCCAGCGGCACGTTTAACACCAACTTGATTTCCAAGATGTGAAGCTTCCAGGAGTCAAAATCTGACAAAGAGACCAGTGAGTCCCAAGAGCTTCCCTGGGAATCTTGTTGGTCTTTAAAGTACTACCGAATTCAAATCTAGCTCTTGAAGGGAAGAACACTCATTGTCATGCAGAGAGCTGGTCCCAAGTGGCGTTGAGCATCTTGGCTGCAGAAGGCCACTTCGTCTGTCCATCATACGTTTTGCCAGTGTTGAGAGGCCAGTCGGCATACTGCGCCAACAGTCAAAGCCAGTGGGCAAAGGTTGCTCTCAGCCACACCCACACGCTCCCATTTCCCTGCCCATTGTGGCATAGATGCTGCAGCAGAGAGCACAGGTCGCTACGCTTCATCCTCAGCCACTGTTTACTGGCAGCAAATTCAGGATCGATAAAAGGGAGTGCTTCTTCGCCCAATGAATAATTCACAGGGACTTACAACTGCGAGAGGCGGCAACAACCACTTGCTCAGACATGGGTTTTTTTAAAGAAAAGATTAGGATATCATCTACTAGCTGGGACAGCTAAATGGGATCCCCACTAGCAGAAGCAGAAGACCCGAATAACGCCAGGAGGGCGTTCCCTTCAGATCCGGCAGGTGCCCTCCCCAGAGGCATCCGGCTTGCCACTAAATCTGAACTAAAAATGGACTTTTGTCTGAGTTGCCAGCAAGGGAACGCGTGTGTTCTTATCAACATCTCTAGGTAATCTTTCAAAAGCAGATTGGCCTGAAGATCTCACATTTATTTTTAAAGGAGGGGAAAGACAACTTCTTTTTCTCCCAGGGCTCCCTTTCTTTCCTGCCTTGCAGTAAGCCGGCTTCTGCTCTCTTGAAATAATAAAATCGTACTGTGAGTAATGAATTCCGACTGCACAAGCCCATGGCAAGCACGGGGCTGTATCAGAAGCCATCGGGCTCCGTTCACATAAAAGGTGGCCTGTGGCTCTGGGATGGGGGGAGGTGCCAAGATTGCGAGCGGGGTTGCTGCTTGTTGGTGCCTTTTGACCTTTTTTCCCCCCCACTGAGGAATTCAGGTCCATTTAAAAACGCTTCTTGCAGCGAGTGCACGTGCTACCGTGGAGCTTTTGCTTTCTAGTCTGTCTGCCTCAGGGTTTGCAGAGAAGGTCTCCATTTGCAAGCTGTACTTCACACCCTCTTCCTAAGAGTTAAAGCAGCTCCACCGTGGAGCAGGCTTCCTCGGGGGGAGGCTGTGGGCTCTCCTTCTTTGGAGGTTTTTCAGCGGCGACCAGATGACAGCAATGCTGGTTCTATGATCCAGTGTGAATTTAGGCGGATCATGAGAGAGAGGGTGGGAAGGGATGGGCCAGTGTTTGGCTCTTGTGGCCCTTTCTTATAGACCCAGGATAATGAAGATTGAGGAGTTTTCCTCGAGGCCAGATTGGACCAGGGATCCTGGAGGTTTTTGGCCTTCCTCTGGGCATAGGGGGGAGGTCACTGGGGGAGGGGAGGGTTGTAGCTGTGAATTTCCTGCACTGTGCTTGGGGTTGGACTAGATGGCCTTTGGGGGATCCCTTCCAGCTCTGCGTTCCCTACCTTGTGCCTTTGTAGTGATTAAGGGAACTTGCCTAAGTTCAAACATCCAGTTCCCCGATTCATGGTTTCGGGGTCGGGAATGGGCCCACCTCTGCTTGCTTTCCTCTCTACCAGTCGCAGACTCCCCCCCCCTCCCTTTTTTAGTTTGCCGTCACATCTGCATTTTTTTAACGGAGGGGTTCCATCTTCCTTAGCTGTGTTTAGAATTTGCCTCTCACCTGAGGAGTCTTTTATGGATATCATTTGAGGCTGATGAATGTTGTTTTATGCTCCCGACTTGTTTTTATGGCATGTTTTATTATTGATCATTCTTCCATCGGGGTCCGCGGTTTTATTGTGTTTCTGAGCCACCTTGAGCAGTCTCCGAGCAGGCATCATATACATCTGCTAAATAATAAACAGGCACGCTCTCATTAGCACTAACCAGCAGTTGCCTCCAGACTGGGATTTGCCATTCAAAACCTGACGCTCGGTCACAATTTTCTCAATTTCGGAGGAAAGGGAGCTCTGATTCTCGAAAGCTTCTGCCCTGAAACTCTTGATGGGCTCTAAGGTGCTTCTAGACTCAGATCTGAATTTTCTCAGTGCACCTCCAGCGGTTAGACCAAGCTGGGAAAGGGGGAAGTATGTGGCACGTTCTGTATCTCCAAATTTAAGGGTTAGGAGATCAGAAAAATGCAATATCTGATAACTTGGATAATTAAGCATGTGCCAGAATGCACATTTGGCACCATGTTGAGTTTTACTAGTGGCTGAAAGAGTCTGGTCTTTAACGCCTTTCCTCAGGGAAGAGTCCCAGGCTGATATCAGCCGGGAGACAAAAAGCGTTCTGTGGCAGGTGAGTGACACTGACAACGCCGAGCATAATCCCTGGAGCATCAGTGTCATAACTGGCTTTTGAGTTGTGTGCCGGAGGGCAAGATGTCACTGCGCAGGAAACGCGAGGACAGGGCCAGACTCTTCTACATGCTGATGCATGTCTTGTACTGTATATTTATTTGGGAAATGTATATGTCACACACACACACACACACACACCCCTGGAAAGAGTCCGACTCCCAGGCTGCCGAATAAGAAAGTTGAGCAATAAACGAGAGCCATTGCGGCGTGGTAGTCAGTGTATCTGACAAAGCCCAGGGAGATCTGGGTTCGAACCCCCACCAGTGTTCCCACTAAGCTGTGGAGTCTTGTGAGCAAAAATTCTACTTTGTGAGCTACCGGCATTAAAATTTTGAGGGAGCAATTTGGCTGCTGCATAAATTAGTTTGCTCTGGAGCCATCCTTCCTGAGCTGGAGGCTAAAAAACTGTGAGCCGGAGGCTAAAAAACTGTGAGCCAGCTCACACTAACTCAGCTTAGAGGGAACACTAACCCCCACTCCCGCTAGGTGAATCTCCTAGACCGCAACAGGAACAAAATTTATAAAACCCACAGCTGAGGCGGGGGGGGGCAGCCTCCAGAACAAATTTTTTTAAAAGCCACTGCAATCAGACACATACTTATTCCAGTTCTAATGGCGTTTGCCAGAAGAAGTGGGGGACACTAGAGCCATGGTCGCCAACCACGGTGCCCGCCAACACTGTTCCTGGTGCCTGCCAAGTGCTTTGAGGAAATAGGCAGCACAAGGCTTGGGCTTCTGCCCAGCAGGGCTTCTGATTGGCTGTACAGATTGAAATGCACCTGTGGAACGGAGCTTCTGCCTGAAATACCGAAGAGGTAATCCTGGTGTTATATAGATAACCTCACTCCCTGACCTGCAGCAGCCATTTTATGGTGTGCTCCACCGCTCGTGGCAGCCATTTTTGTGGCTGTGCCCCTCGCCCCCTGTCAGAATTCCAGAGATGCCTCCAGGCTCAAAAAGGTTGGGCTCCCCCTCCTCTAGACTATTTGCTGTTCTGGGTGTGGTGCTTGCCACGGGGTACCAATCCTTGTTACAAATGCCCCCTCTCGACAGGCTCTCTACGGAAGCAGAGGTTTCCAGCTTCCTCAGGGGGTTGTCTCCTTATGCGATTAATAGTCGTGTACTATAAGTCAGCAGGACCCACCTGCTAAGTTTCAGTGCCACCTTCAGGAAAAGGCACTTCATGCTAAGAGAAAGCGGCACCATTGGCAGAACGACGCCGGCCCACTTGCTTCTTGTTTCACTTGGCACACGTGCCAGTTCTCAGGCATGGCACAAGTCAGGGGTCTCCAACACGATGCCCGTGGGTGCCATGACACCTGCTGACACTTTTCCTGGCGCCCGCCCAGTGTTTTTAGAAAGTGGGCGGGGCCAGGTGAGGCTTCTGCCCAGCAAGGCTTCTGATTGGCCACTGGGGGTTTGATCGGCTGCGCAGATTTTTAAATATGTCACTCTGGCAGCAGCCGCCACCACAGCACAAGGCTCTCCACTTTGTGGCTGGAGGTAATCCGTAGCAACCATTTTGTTGCTAGCTCCACCTCCTGTGGCAGCCATTTTGTGGCTGCGCCCACCACAGTGTATCAGGATTCCAGAGGTGCCCACAGGCTCAGAAAGGTCGGGGATCCCTGGCGTGATTTGTATGTGTACGGACCATCTTCCGAGTGAACCCAGCGCGCGCTCACTTCTTTCCCTGTCTTCCTTGCAGGATCTTATGGCCAAAGTGAGGGCTATGCTTGCAGCTTCCAAAAACATCCCAACCAGTGCCTCCTGAGACCAACTCTCCAGAAGAGCTTCTCCACCTGGAAGCTATGCTCAGATGGCTCCCAGCACCTCTTTTCTTCCGACAATGGATTTTACATGTACAGCAGTGGGTCCCCTCGGAACTTTTAACACATTTCCCATGTGGAACGTCCCATCAATAAGGCGCCTTGGGGGGCGGGAGGGGGGTTGTAAATTACATTTTGGACTGATACTTCATTAACGTTTTGCAATGAAAGGGGTCTGTACATTTGTAAATACAATGTTTCTGTGAGTGTAACTCAATAAAAATGCAGAGGAACCCTTTTTATTAGCTAAATGTTTCCAAGAGGCTGTTTTACCCCCTGCTTTTTGAACGTTTTAAAATGTTTCCGTCTGGAACTTTTAGCTTAGGACATCTGTTGCTATTTTGAACCACGATGGGCAAAAAATGTTTTCAGTGTCCCACAGGCAAGCAGGCCTTAATTACATTTTGGTGTAGTGGTTAAGTGCGTGGATTCTAATCTGGGAGAACCGGGTTTGATTCCCCACTTCTCCACTTGCACCTGGCTGGATGACCTTGGGCAAGCCATAGTTCTGTCACAGCTGTTCTTGAAAAAGGGCAGTTTCTGTCAGAGCTCTCTCAGCCCCACCTGCCTCACAGGGTGTCTGTTGTGGGGAGGGGGAGGAGTTTTTACCATCAAATTGTAGCCAACTTATGGCAACCCCATAGGGTTTTCAAGGCAAGAGACACAGAGGTGATTTGCCATTGCTTACCTGTGCATCAACCCTGGTATTCCTTGGTGTTGTTCAAGGAGCGTAATGCTCTTTGGGGGTTATTCCCATCCAAATGCTGACCAGGGCCATCTCCACTTAGCTTCCGAGATCTGATGAGATCGGGCTAACCTGGGCTATCCAGGTCAGAGCCCAGTCTTCTGTTAAGCAGTATAGAAAAGCAAAAATGTGACACAGAATCAGCACTTGTACCTCCATGGACTCTGACACCTGAACAGACTCTACCCAAGGTTCTAGATTCAAGGTCTGCAAGAAGACAGGAGATATACCATTCCTCTAATCCTCCCAGGAATTGTTGGAGGATGGGTATAATAAATGCATATCTAAGATAATTTTAGAAGGGGATTCTTGCCAGCAGTGAGTTAACTTGGCAGCATCCAAACATGTTGGCCAGAGCTTTGCCGGCACCCAGGCTGGTGCGACGTAGCAGTTAAGAGAGTTGGTCTAGGATCTCAGAGGCCTGGGTTCAAATCTCCCCCCCACCATGAAGCTGGCTGGCTGGATTCCATCTGGCCATTCACGCTGCCTGACCTTCCTCCCAGGGTTCTTAGAACAGAATGCAAGAACTACACCCTGCCCTGCGCTGCACTGCTTGGAAAGGAAGGGCAGGGTAAAAATGGACTAGATAGAGAACAGGTCATTCATATTCCCATTCTACAGATTTGTTTATTTCTTCGATTTCTATCCCGCTCCCCTACTCCCACTGGCGTGGGGCTCAGTGAATCACAACATATGATGAACAAATTATAATATATTTTAAAACATGTCAGTTTAAAACAATTCCAGATATTTACATTTTATCAGATGGCAGTACTATAACACGCCCCGGGGAGAGAAGGGGAGGAAGAGGCAGGTGAATCTGTATAAATTGGGATGAACAAATTATAATATATTTTAAAATATGTCAGTTTAAAACAATTCCAAATATTTACAGTTTATCAGATGGCACCTAGTATTACTATAACACGCCCCGGGGAAGAGAAGAGGAGGAAGAGGCAGGTGAATCTATAAATTGGAATTCTACTGACCTTACCCTTATGCTTGGTGGTACATTTCCATTTTGCAGTCCTGCACGGCCCGGATCTCACTTGGAAGCACATTCCACCAAACTGGAGCCACCGCCGAAAAGGCTCTGGCTCTAGTTGAAGCCAGGCGAATATTCCTTGGTCCTGGGATCATTGGTGTGTTGTTGTTCAAGGAGTGTAATGCTCTTTGGGGTTTATGCCAGGAGAGGCGGTCCCAAAGATATGGCCAGCTTTATAGTTCCTTGAGAGTCCCTTGGATTGCAAGGATATCAGTCAGTCCTGAAAGAAATCAACCCTGACTGTTCCCTGGAAAGCCAGATACTGAAGCTAAAGCTCAAATACTTTGGCCACCCAATGAGAAGGGAGCACTCACCGGAGAAGACCCTGATGCTGGGAAAGACTGAAGGTCATAGAAGAAGGGGACGGCAAAGGATGAGATGGATAGACAGAGTTATCGAGACAACAAACATGAGATGAAGTAAACTCCAGAGGACGACGGAAGACAGGAGGGCCTGGCGTGATGTGGTCCATGGGGGTCGCGAAGAGTCGGACTTGACTGTGCAGCTGAACAACAACATAGTTCCTAGGCTTTGAAGGGCTTTCAAGTTTGAAACTAACACCCTGAATTGGACCCGAGAGGCAAACAGAGAACCACTAGAACATGAGAATGCCACCCAGCCCCACACAAGAGGGGCAGCCGCATTCTGCACTAGATGCAGCTTCCTCATCGCTTCCGAGGGGCAGCCCCACGTGCTGCGCGTTCCCAGTACCATTTTCCAAAATGCAGGACTGTTACTGTCCTCCAGAGATTCCAGACTGTCCTTATATAACTTTTTCAATGCTTTAGAGGCAAAACAAGCATTGAAAGTTAGCAGAGATGCTATCTGGCCTTTTATAAATGACTAGCGGCAAATCGTAATTGTATGCTAAATCTTGTTACTGTCCTCTAATTATAAATTCCTCTATCATACAAGCTGAAGTTCAGCGAAGTGACGTGGTTCAAAATGCAAACTGCCGAGTTCTTTGGAAAAAGCCAAAGCTGAAAGAGAAAAATGTTGATCCAATGGCCTCTTGCGGCAGTTTACGGTTGAATAATCCAGCTCCACCAATAACACGGCGTGATGTAACCCCTCGGTTGCTGACCACAGAATAAGATGGCGGACCATTTCTTCAGACGGAATAAGATCTATCGAAAGAATAACCGTAAGAATATGTCGTCGAAGGCTTTCACGGCCGAAGTTCATGAGTTGTAGATTTTCCGGGTTGTGTGGCCGTGGTCTTGGCATTATAGGACCTGGCGTTTCACCACAGCTGCTGGCGAAATGTCAGGACCGTATAGAGAAACCTCCCAGTTGAAGATAATCAGCAACAGCAAGAACAACCGGGAAGACATTATAATGCAATTGATACTATATTGGGAAATTACTAAATACAATACAAAATATCCACAAAGTGTCATTCAACAATAAAGTACATGAGGTTCATAAATTCATAGAAAATCACATTCCACTGAGTACTTCATACATAAGAGAATCACAATATATAACGAAGCTTCCGGCTTTTGTCTTCGTTTCGATCCTAGACAGAAGTAAATTCTCTTGCATATGATATATGTCGTCTCATTCATATTCATATCATTTTACTATAAAACAAATTTACATATCATAAAAGGGGAAAAGAAGACATACAGATTGAAAATCATTTCAGTAAAATATTTCTTGTATACCATTTAGTGAGTGTTGTCTCTTTTGTTTTCATATAGTTTTCTTTTTGCTTTTCAAAGCTTATGTTCCTAAAAATGAGATCATTATACAAACAGATATTGAGTTTTTCTTATAGATAAATGATATGTATAATTCCGGTTTATAAAGAAGGAGTCACTCACCAAATAGGAAACAAAAATCCTCATAGTAGGCTCCAGTCAAAACTGCTGTGCGCTTCTGAATGCTAGAATGCCTTAAGGTTCTAGTGTGTAATTGACATATATATATTTTTGGACATCACATTTAAAGGGGACATAAGCCTATTATGCTTCATCCTAAACAAATCATTCCATAATCTTAAAGAGAGAATTTCTATCATGTAAAAACATGTTTTGGACCTAGAAAATTATATAACAAGGAAAATTCCTATCATAAAAAACATGAAAGGTCCATATCACCATTTAAACCACGGGGACTTAAGGTCTGCAATCGATGAATCCAGTATGCTTCTCATTTGAGTAAAGCCTTTTTAGTGTCTGCTATATTATCCATGTTTTGTGCGTTGTTTTTATTTATTTGTTTGCATTTATATCCTGCCCATCCTGCGGGTGGGCTCAGGGTGGGTAACATCATTGAAATAAATACAATTTCAGTTTAAAACATTAAACATTAAAACACAGTAAAACATAACAAAACAATGGGTACAGCTTGGAAGAGCATAAGCTGGCTATATAAAGTTCTGGCTCGATGGTGCGGCGAGTTAAAGGCCAGTTGTCGGTGGTCAGTAAATGGACGGGTGACAGCAACCTCAGGGAGGCCATAGATGGGCGCCCGTTGCCTCAGCCAAAGGCCTGGCGGAAGAGCTCCATCTTGCAGGCCCTGCGGAATTGAAGAAGATCTTGCAGGGCTCTGGTCTCAAGAGGGAGCCTGTTCCACCAGGCTGAGACCAGGACAGAGAAAGCCCTGGCCCTGCTTGAGGCAAGACGGGCGTCCTTCGGGCCAGGGACCACCAGGAGGAGTTGATCTTTTGCGCGCAAGGCTGTTCGAGGCGTACATGGGAAGAGGCGGTCTCTTAGATACGTTGGTCCCAGGCTGTATAAGGCTTTGAAGGTCAAAACCAGCACCTTGAAGCGAATCCGGTACTCAACTTGGCAACCAATGCATCGGATAGTGCATCGGATAGAACAACAGGTATTATCCCACTTAGTTTGGTCATCAAAAGTAAAAACGTTCCCTGTTATCCCACCCGGCTAATGGACTCTGCCCCCTTAACATTAATCCTCAGAGCAGATGGCCTCTTACAATTATCCTTTTTTAATTTTGTTAAACTTTTACTGAAAATGCATAGAAGAAAAGAAAATATACAGGGAAAGTTACGACTTATTTGCACAGCTTGGATCTAGGTGGCCCAGGCTAGACTAGTCTCATCTGATCTCGGAAGCTAAGCAGGGCCGGCCCTGGTTAGTACTTGGATGGGAGACCACCAAGGAAGGCCAGGGTGGCTATGCAGAGGCAGGCAAAGGCAAACCACCTCTGAACGTCTCTTGCCTTGAAGAGGTAGCCATGAGTCAGCTGTGACTTCACCGCACTTTCCACCTCCTCCACCACCACCACCACCACATCGGTATGCAAAGAACTGGCTCTCGGTCAAGAACCCCCAGCCTCAGCCCCCTACTCTCTTTTCCCCCCCTTCATTCCCCTATCCTTTCCCTCTCTGATGGTGAACGGGGGAACAGAGCCTGTATCTTTCTTGTCATTTCGTTACAACTATTTAAAGAGTGCAGGTATTTGGCACTCTC